TACGTATATAAATAAAACACTGAGCCACAGATTTTATGAAGGGCACTTTACAATCTATAAATTATAAATGTATGCATTTATTTGTATGTGTTTATTCATTTAGTATATTATGAATTATTATAATTATTATTTTTTTTTTTAAAAACTGTGCTTTATCTACCATCATTACAAAATGAATAATTGATTCATATTTTTCTATAAATTTATTTATTGTAATTTCATTTATTATTATTATTATGTTCTTGTATTGTGTGCCATCAGCTCCTGAGGTCCCCCTCATATACCAGGCTTACTCCAAACACAGTGACAGCATCACAGTGGAGTTCGGTGTGGTGTCTGGTGCCACCAGCTACATCATCCGGGCAGAGAACGAGGATGGGTTCTTCTCTGAAAGCCTGGTGAACACTTCCCCCGGGACAGTGGTCGGTCTGTACGTATATAAATAAAACACTGAGCCACAGATTTTATGAAGGGCAATTTACAATCTATAAATTATAAATGTATGCATTTATTTGTATGTGTTTATTCATTTAGTATATTATGAATTATTATAATTATTATTTTTTTTTTTAAAAACTGTGCTTTATCTACCATCATTACAAAATGAATAATTGATTCATATTTTTCTATAAATTTATTTATTGTAATTTCATTTATTATTATTATTATGTTCTTGTATTGTGTGCCATCAGCTCCTGAGGTCCCCCTCATATACCAGGCTTACTCCAAACACAGTGACAGCATCACAGTGGAGTTCGGTGTGGTGTCTGGTGCCACCAGCTACATCATCCGGGCAGAGAACGAGGATGGGTTCTTCTCTGAAAGCCTGGTGAACACTTCCCCCGGGACAGTGGTCGGTCTGCTGCCTTACACCCAATACACCCTCAGCGTGATGTCCGTCAACACTGGGGGAAGGAGTCAGCCTTCTCTAACTGTGAATGCTAGGACAGGTAAAATGACTTTCATTAAAACACCTTCTGCTTGATTTAAACACGCCTTTTTCTTAATACTTTGGCTAGTTTATACTTCTATCTTCTTCTTTTTTTGGGGTAACATCCCTGCTGTTTGTGACAGAAAAAAAGGATGGTTTACCATGGTTTAGGTGGTCTTCAACTGGTTACCTGCCCAACTAGCTGGTCTGCCAGCATGAGAAATGGAAATGACAAACCCAAAACCCCTATAAAACCATCAAACCAGACAGGACTAGCATGATGGCCTACTCAAACTTATACATTTGTTCAAATTTGATATGTTAGTTCAATACATATATCATTCTAAACAATTATGCTAATCTGCGGTTATTAATCATTTTCCGTTCAAAACCAGTTTACTACCATACTTTACTGATTTAATATGGATTATGGAAAACGTAGTCCTCAAATCCACGGCATAACTCTATGAAGATCAAATAAAAGTGTACCTTGTAGCCTTCCAACCAACACAGACATTTTCATATAAAGCTTATTTTATAAAGATAACACAACATAGAATAGAAGGAAACTTGAGCACTATTCCCTGCTTGGTTGACAATGAGTTGGTATTTAAAACCTGTAACAATAACACAGTATTGTTTACTCCAGCTATTGTGTAGAGTTGGTACCTCTGGCTCTACCGACTGTTGACGGTAACTGCACCTTGAGCTGGACTTTATACCCAAAACTGAATGAAAAGATAAAACCATGAGAACTAGGCTGTTGCTTCTCCCCAAGGAACGGCTTTGACGTAACATAAGAGGGACGGGTTTCATAAAGTTTCATTTATAACAACAGGACTTACACTGTCTCTATCTCATTTCACCCAACAGACACGCTGCAGGTTGTTGTTTCCGTCTCAAGATCCTATATCTGTCCCTATCAGACATTTATACTAGTATCATTTTAAAACTAGTCATAGTATATCTGCAGATAAGCACTGGCACATCTCACAACAAATAATATTTTTCCTATAATAGTGTATTAAGGGGATAGTCCACCCAAAAATAAAAATGCTATCATTATTTACTCATTGTCATGTCATTCTAAATATGCATGATGTTATTTCTTCCGTGGAACACAAAAGAAGACATTTTCAAGAATGCTAGTAGCCAAATGGTTCCCAAATGGTCTCATTGACTTCTATAGTAGACAAAAAATATAGATATGGGAGTCAACTGGACCCAAAATCATTTGGTTACCAACATTCTTCAAAATATCTTATTTTGTGTTCCACAGAAGAAAGAAACTCATACAGGTTTGGAATGAAATGAGGGTGAGCAAATTATAATAATATATAATAATTATATAATTTTTCATATTTGGGTGAACTATCCATTTAATTTAGACAGGATTTTTTTTCCCGTTGTAATGATCGAAACTCACCAGTAGGGGCAGTAACTGTTGAGTCTTTGCCTGTGATTATGCACTTGCTGTCTTGTCAACATGTTCTATTCCTTCTGTCTTTATTAAAGTTATTAAAATATTTATTTTTCTCTCTGTTTGCAGTGTTGGTAGCCCCAGATCTGATTTCCAGCTCCCCCAGCAGTGACATCATTGTGATAGAGTGGAATCCAGTGGACCACGCTGTGCTATACAGCCTGGTCATGATCATGGAGGGCTCTACGCGGGTCAGACTAAACACGTCTGAGACCAATATGACCTTCACTGACCTTCAGCCTGGCACCACCTACAGCATCAAGGGCAATGCCTGGGATCCAGATGGTAACCAAGGAGATGACATCACCGTCTACCAAATCACACGTAAGGGCTTACTTGTTTCTAGTACTTTAAACAGAATGTGTTCACACAATGCATTTCCCAATAAACTGCTTGGCTCTTTTAATTGAAAGAGGTGGGACCCAGTGTGCCACAACCAACATGTTCAGCCTTACAAATTCTCTCATTCCGTGAAGTGTTTTGCCTGACTCTACGTACTAGATAATCTGTTCATAATTTTGTAAAATGTAAATAAAATTATGAATCAAACCTTAAAAAGATAGTCCAGGCAAAATTAAAATTCTGTTATCATTTTCTCACCCTCTTTCCAAATATGTATGACTTCCTTTCTTCTCTGGAACGCAAAATAATATATTTTGAAGAATTTTAGTAACCAGTTTTGGGTCCCTTTGCCTTCACAGTATTTTTTGTCCAAACTATGGAAGCCAATTGGACCCAAAATGTCTTCTTTCAAAATATCAGCTTTTGTGATCCATAGAAGAAAGCAAGTCCTAAAAGGGCAATATGCCGCATACAAAAAGTACCATGATGGTACCATGTTTTGTTGTATAGTTACAATAGTAGTACCATGGTTTTTTAGGTACTTTGAATACAATATAAATATAATGTAACAATTATTGAAATTAACATTGTATAAATACAATTTCATATACAAATACAATTGCATTTATTCAAAGTATTTCCAAAAATACAATGGTATAATAGTAATAATAATAATAAATTATATAAATAATAATCAGTATTATTATTATTATTTTGCATTTACATGATTCTCAAAGTACTTCCGAAATACTGTTATAATTATATTATTATTAGAAATATTAATGATATTTATATAAATATGAATAATATATTTTACATAGTACCTTTAAAAGTAGTAATATTAAATATTATTATGATTATGATTAAAATATTCATGATTTATATAAATATTAATATTGTTTTTATATAACACATTTAAAGGTAGCTTTTCAATGCACTTTATATATAAAAACAAAATGACAAAAACAAGATATGAAATAAAAAAATAATTAAGCATATTTAAAAATATAAATAAAAAAATAATAAAATCAATTATTTATTAAACAAAATTAACATGGGTAGAAAAAAAATATTAATTTTTAATAAAACAAAACACAAAGTGAAAATAGTGAAGGTTTTCCTAAAATAATCTGAATAACTTTAGTTTCATTACCGTGGTATATTTCAAAGTACTATAGTATTGCTATACTATATGTGACCCTGGACCACAAAAGCAGTCATAAGGGTCAGTTTTTTAAATTGAGATTTATACATCGTCTACAAGTCTGTATTACATGCACATAGATTTACATTGATTTATTTAACAGATGCAATTTTGCACAAGAATATTTGGTACGAAATTTGATATGCATCTCTCTCTGTCCTCAGTCCCCTGCTGTCCAAACAACTTGTCAGTGTCTCTGATTTCCACCGAGACTTTAGAGATCTCGTGGTCTTCAGTTCGAGGAGCTGAGTTATACGAGACGATCGCTGCAGACGGAAGCGAATGGATCCACTGCAACGACACGGCTCCTGTGTGTGCGCTGTCTGATCTCACCTGTGACAGCCTGTATAGCGTGGTGGTGCGGCCCTGCAGTGAGACACAAGGATGCAATAACACCTGTAGTGCACATACACGCCGGACAGGTACGCACATAAATGCTCATTTGCATGTGAACCCACAAGATACTGCTGGGCAATATGCCGCATACAAAAAGTACCATGATGGTACCATGTTTTGTTGTATAGTTACAATAGTAGTACCATGGTTTTTTAGGTACTTTGAATACAATATAAATATAATGTAACAATTATTGAAATTAACATTGTATAAATACAATTTCATATACAAATACAATTGCATTTATTCAAAGTATTTCCAAAAATACAATGGTATAATAGTAATAATAATAATAAATTATATAAATAATAATCAGTATTATTATTATTATTTTGCATTTACATGATTCTCAAAGTACTTCCGAAATACTGTTATAATTATATTATTATTAGAAATATTAATGATATTTATATAAATATGAATAATATATTTTACATAGTACCTTTAAAAGTAGTAATATTAAATATTATTATGATTATGATTAAAATATTCATGATTTATATAAATATTAATATTGTTTTTATATAACACATTTAAAGGTAGCTTTTCAATGCACTTTATATATAAAAACAAAATGACAAAAACAAGATATGAAATAAAAAAATAATTAAGCATATTTAAAAATATAAATAAAAAAATAATAAAATCAATTATTTATTAAACAAAATTAACATGGGTAGAAAAAAAATATTAATTTTTAATAAAACAAAACACAAAGTGAAAATAGTGAAGGTTTTCCTAAAATAATCTGAATAACTTTAGTTTCATTACCGTGGTATATTTCAAAGTACTATAGTATTGCTATACTATATGTGACCCTGGACCACAAAAGCAGTCATAAGGGTCAGTTTTTTAAATTGAGATTTATACATCGTCTGAAATTTGAATAAATAAGCTTGTTAGGATAGGACAATATTTGGCGGAGATACAACTATTTGAAAATCTGGAATATGAGGGTGCAAAAAAAATCTAAATATTGAGAAAATTGCCTTTAAAGTTGTCCAAATGAAGTCCTTAGCAATGCATATTACTAATCAAAAATTAAGTTTTGATATATTTATCAAAGGAAGGAAATTTACAAAATATCTTCATGGAACATGATCTTTACTTAATATACTAATGATGTTTGGCATAAAAGAAAAATCTATAATTTTAACCCATACAATGTATTTTTGGCTATTGCTACAAATATATTTGTGCTACTTAAGACTGGTTTTGAGCTCCAGGGTCACATATGATCTTATCACTGTAACATGGCATCAGTTTTTATGAAATTAAGCGTATTTCTCTTTCTCTCAGCTCCCTGTGCCCCTCTGATCCTCAACGTGACTCAGGTGAACTCTTCCACGGTGGAGGTGTTCTGGATGGCTACAAACACCGAGGCTAACTACACTGTGATCGCCATGGGTCTCACCGACACGCTCACCTGCTCATCCAGCGGCACTTCCTGCTACATCAGTGTGTCCTGTGGATCCACATATGACGTCAGCACCTACGCCACAACCACAGCAGGACAGAGTCTTCCCAGCTACTCCATTCCCCTGGAAACAGGTGCAGTAATGAAGATAGAAAACATCCGGAAATAGATAATTAATGGTTGACAATGGTCAAGCGATAAATAAATGTCCCCTTTCTCTCTCCAGGACCCTGTTGTCCAGAAACTCTGAGTGTTGAGCAGGTGACCCAGTCTATGACAAACATCACTTGGTCGGCTGCCACAGGGGCGCGGTCTTATGTCACCTCTTTGACATCCCCCAGAGGTCACGCCAGATGTCACACCATGGACACCCACTGCCTGCTGGGATGCATCACATGTGGCACCAGCTACAATGTGTCGCTGGAGGCCTTCAGCATTACTGGACATAAATCAGAGTGCAGTTACCACGGTTTCTCTGCAAGTGAGTAAAGAAGCTTTCTCATGGCATCACTACAGATTAGACACTAACATATTTAACCACATAACTGGTCATTTACTCGAGTATGTGCTTTAGATTAAATATGGTGTCCTTTTTCCAACAAACTTATTTTCTTGAGAAGTGCTTGTTCACATTCTATCTGTCTGTCTGTCTGTCTGTCCGTCCGTCCGTCCATCTATCTATCTATTTATATGATTAATTAAAAATAATATATATTTTTTATATATAACCCCCTTAAAAATAGTTTTAAATTCATATAAGAAAACGAATAATAAGGAATTAAATACAAATATTTAAAATAATAATAATAATAAAGAATAAAAAATAAAAAAATTGAAATTATTAAAAAAACAAAACACAAAATTATTTACTACGGATTCAGCATTTGCAAACATTTGACTGGTTAATAGTCATTTACTCTAGTAGATGCTTTTAATTCAACCTGGTGTTCTTCTATCGATTTATACTTTAAGCTTGTGCTCTTTCTTTAAAATAAAAATAATAGTAATAATAATAGTTATTAGTATTATTACATTTATTATTCCTATTTATATGAATATTATTAATACTTGTACCTTTAAAGGTAGCTTCTCAGTGCACTTAAGAAAACAAAGACAAAAACAATATATGAGAGTAAAAAGAATGAAGATTAATTACAAATAAAAAAGTGAAATGATTAATAATAAAACAAAACACAAAATCAAAACAGGCAAGTAAAGGGTTTCATTAAAACAACATCATGTGATTGAGAAATAAAAAATGAAGATCTAATATATGACAATCTGACATTTTGTTTATCTAATGTCTAATTAAAAATATATTTAAAATGAATTAAATGAAATCAAATAAATGACAGATGGAATAAAGAAACAAGCAAAATGTCTGTGTAAATCAGTTGTAAAACTATTTTTTGCATAGATTCAATATAATCATACTTACTAATGGTTTTAAGAATGATTTACGCAAAGTTTTGAATAAATCAATGAAAAATGGAAACTTTCACCATTCTATCTCATTTTCATTATCTGTAACCTCTCTCAGGTGCGTGTTGTCCGTCCAGCGTGAGACTCTACCGGATGGATAACAACACTCTTCGGGTGTACTGGCGCTCTTCTCCCGGCCTGTACAACTACACAGCCGACCTGCACGGTACCAGATCCAACTACACCTGCAGTGCCACAAATGGGGCTCATGGATGTGACATCTCTGAGATCCTGTGTGGGGAAGTATACACTGTCGTGGTCGCTCCCTTAACACAAGAGGGTTCGAAGGTCACATACTGCCCCAGAAGACTCTACTCAGGTACAAAATGATGTTTTAATTATAAATAACACAAGAAAAAAATATGAATAAAACATCACATTTTAATCTTGTAAAATGACGTTTCTTTCTTCTTTTTTTTCAGTCTCCTGTTCTGGAAACACTGTGGGAATGGGTGTGTATTCTTATTGAAACTCATCTTCAATCATACACTTTTAAATATTTATAATATATATCAATATAATATTATATCATTTGAATATTATATAGTACTATTTAAAAAAATATACACGTCAAAAAATAGACATTTAGAAATGACAAGCTCTTCCAAGTACATTCTCTATGACTCAGTGCTATATAACTGCTTTTCTGTGGATCTGCAGTGATCTATCGAGGCCGGAGGAGTGTGGACTAAAACCTTTTTGTGAGTAATTGCACATAAATTATGACTGAATGTTTACATTTGCTGTCATCACATACAGATGCGGAGTCTCATGGGACAGATTTACCCAGGGAATCCAAAACTGGAGGCCTTTGTGTCCACCATAAGATTAGTTTATTGCTATACAGCCTGTGACAATAAAATATGACACTTGTGCTCTTGGGACTCCAGATGCGCATCTCAGTCAAAATGTCTTCAGATATGATAAATGATAAAGTGTCTTGTTACTTGTCTTAAAACATTTAGGAATAAAAATAAAATCTTATAAAGTCTGAAAAAATCTAATCATATTTTAAAAGAAATCCTACTTCAGACATTATTTTCATGACAATTAAGCACTTCCCCTATGTAAAATAATATATATATATATATAAGTTCCTTTGACCTCATGATTCTCATTTGTTCTGACATGCACTGTGAGCTGTAAGGTCTTATATAGACAGGTGTGTGGCTTTCCTAATCAAGTCCAATCAGTATAATCAAACACAGCTGGACTCAAATGAAGGTGTAGAACCATCTCAAGGATGATCAGAAGAAATGGACAGCACCTGAGTTAAATATATGAGTGTCACAGCAAAGGGTCTGAATACTTAGGACTATGTGATAATTCAGTTTGTGTGTGTGTGTGTGCTGAGATGCTGTGGAAAAAAAGACAAAACTATTATGAGAATGTTGCAGGATCTTGTCTTTGACATGACATGAATGATGTATAGGCCATATACATTTCAGTGTGTATATGATCAAAGTTGGACCTCCCGCAAATGTCCGGTTCTCATGTCTTTTTGTCTTCTGTCAAAGGGCACAGATGAAAGAAGATGGAGCTCTGACGTCATCAACGGAGACAACAGGGCATTCTCTTCTCACCATTTTCATCTCGCCACATTTATATACTGTTTGCCAGCAATACCTATAACAATTGGCTCAATGAAAATGTATGTGTATCTTTAAGGTCTTTTAAACATGAAAACAAAAAAATATATTTTTCAATCAAATTGTTAACCATTTCTAAATGTGTGATATTTTATACATACATTTCCTTTGTATTATGACGTTTGCATTTATACTGTAATTTCCTGATATTCAAAGCATGTCATGAAGCCCAAATGTTTACATGTCCAAGAAAAGTAATATCATAATGTCACAAGAAAAATGACTATGTTAATTGTAGTGTAATGATTCGAACAACACTATAAGCATTTGTAGGAATTCCCCTAAGCAGCAAGCCTCCAAAGGGAGTGGACCAGTGTGTTTTATACTGGGTAGACCTCCTCTGAACTAGGATGGGAAATTCGAACATCACAAGTTTCATGTTCAGTGTCTGCCCCAGGTCATGTGTCCTTTGGATGATATATTACATTGAATTTGCAAAATATGTATGTTTACTAATGACCTACAGCCTGAGAACCTCAATACAATAGCAGCCTTTAGTACTCTTAATAAACAGCATGAAGCATTACATATTGAGAATTTTTTTTTTTATTAACATTTCAGATTTTTTTCCCACTATTTGCTATTTATATATTTATTTTATGTACGTTATAGTGCTGCTAAAGTTAACACATTAATTCTTTAGATTGACTAAATGTTAAACGCTATTACATTTATTTGACCATTTTATTTGCATAATTTTGCATAATTTGACAATACTGTTCTGTTTCTAATAACTGGTGTAAACAGTCAGAAGAACAAAAGGTTTCCATCTCAAATGCAGAAAAGTCGCAAAAGTCACAAACCACATATTTATCAGTTGATAGGAACTTTCTCTTTCTCTGCCTTTTCATTGAAGATCAGCACACGACTCGCTCACATGCATATTTTTCTATCTATCTAATGGCACGTATATTTATAAATGAAACCCAGATGGGAAATATTATAATTTTAAGCTGCAAAATACCTCAAAGACATGGCATGACACACAAAAGAGACAAATCCATGTCACGAACATAGATTCCTGAGCTGTGTTATCATCTACTTCATGAAAACTAACACACCAGAATATATTATGTTTTCTTACATAACACCATATTTAGTGGCACTTGCTAAGATAAGCATCACTGTTACCAATACTGGATTTGAACACACCCTGAACAATAAATATTCAACTTCAGTAACTCATCCTGCACCATCTGTGCTGTGGGTGATGTGAGCAATACCTCAAATCAAATGAAAACCTTCCACAGAGTTACACTGAAAAACTGAATATGGTATAGAGACTTGAAGCTAACTAGCAACCACCCAGAAAACCCAAATATCACATAACATATAAAACCACCCGGAACAACCTTGCAAACATTTAGTAACATCACAGCAGCCATAATAGCAATGTTATAGCAAGTACCCACAACATTCTATTATTGTGGCCATTGGTTTTGCATTGGCAAGGACCACTGGCATTTTCTTTAGATTTTTACATTTTTTAAGAACTTGTAAGTAGTGCTGCAATCAAAATTGATTTTTTTTGTCTCTTTTATTGTCCTTCCCTTTTTTTAGTCTAACCACTTAAGTAATAGCACACAACTACTCAAAAAGTCACATGATTAGAAGCATTCATGCCCAGTTTAATACTTTGGGATATATTAACTACGTATAATAGAAAACTGGCCAAATAACTCATATTTGATATATCATATACAGTACTGTGAGTGCACTCTAGCTTTGTGTAAGTGTCAGCAAAATGCATAAATATAACAATAACATTGCTGACAGATGCACTGATATGACAGAGAGATACCGTACCTACAGCATGTGGGTAGAACGTGAGACAGACCTGTCATTGTCTTGCATGAACAATAGGTGCCTAAAACCTGAGCAATGTATAGCTTCTGAGAGAAAAGATGTGCCTCAAACGCGTGCCATACAAAGACACTGATCATTCACCCTGTGGGAAAGATTAGCCTACTGATGACTCGTATATACCAGGTAAATAAATACTTACAGATTTGGTTTCTACTACAAGAAATTAAATCTCCTGATTCTAATATTTTTCTTCTAACAGGCCCAAGTAGGCTAATCTCAGATTCGTCTGTAGAATATACTATACAACTTTTGCCAAGACAAACTCGCAATTCTGAGAAACAATGTCTGACTTGTGAGATATAAACTCAAAATTGTGAGAAAAGAATATTAGAATTGTGATATCTCACAGCTTGGGCTTTTCTCAGAATTGTGAGAAAAAAAAAAACTGGGAGGAAAAGTTACAGTTGTGAGAAATAACTCGCAACTGCAAGATAAAAAGATCACAATCGTGAGATAAGAAGTCTTTGTGTTCTTTAGGCCTAACGGGCTTCCATATGTTTTTTGCGTGCAAGTTATATAAAGCCGTATAAAGCCAAATGTGTGAAGCCCAGTGTTTTAACGTGTTCAGATTTGAAAAGTAGGGACCCACTTTATAGGTGTCGTTAACTATTATGTTCTTACATTTAAATTAATAATTTGATACAATGCAATTATTGTGTAGCCTACATAAACGTTTTTACATTGTACTTGTATTTGAAAATACCAGTATTTACACCCGTAATTCATTTCTGTAGTTACATCTACCCCATAAACCTAATCATACCACCAAACCTGTCCCTAAACTTACCTGTATCCCACCTCAATAGCAGCAAAAGTGTTTAGCAATTAAACATGAACACAATAGGCACACACCAATTATCATTATCAGTTAAACAACTTTTGCCAAGACAAACTCGCAATTCTGAGAAACAATGTCTGACTTGTGAGATATAAACTCAAAATTGTGAGAAAAGAATATTAGAATTGTGATATCTCACAGCTTGGGCTTTTCTCAGAATTGTGAGAAAAAAAAAAACTGGGAGGAAAAGTTACAGTTGTGAGAAATAACTCGCAACTGCAAGATAAAAAGGTCACAATCGTGAGATAAGAAGTCTTTGTGTTCTTTAGGCCTAACGGGCTTCCATATGTTTTTTGCGTGCAAGTCTTATAAAGCCGTATAAAGCCAAATGTGTGAAGCCCAGTGTTTTAACGTGTTCAGATTTGAAAAGTAGGGACCCACTTTATAGGTGTCGTTAACTATTATGTTCTTACATTTAAATTAATAATTTGAAACAATGCAATTATTGTGTAGCCTACATAAACGTTTTTACATTGTACTTGTATTTGAAAATACCATCCTGTATTTACACCCGTAATTCATTTCTGTAGTTACATCTACCCCATAAACCTAATCATACCACCAAACCTGTCCCTAAACTTACCTGTATCCCACCTCAATAGCAGCAAAAGTGTTTAGCAATTAAACATGAACACAATAGGCACACACCAATTATCATTATCAGTTAATCATTATTTTATTAAGTACATAGTATTTAAAGACACCAAATATGAAGTGGGACTAAAAGCTGTGTAGTGTATTAGCACATTAATATTATAGCCCTTTACTCTGTCTCATTTGTTTCAACTTTTTCAATGAATTTGAGGAGAAACATCAGACTTTACTTCAGTGCATCATACCTGAACATACTCCAAGTTTCCTGAAGACAAAAAGGGCCACATTTGAGTAATAAAGCATCTTCGGCGATGTTCTGAAGGACAAAGTATGATGGTTGTGATGGAACTTTGTTCAAAGTTAAACGTTTTGTTTATACGCAACTTAAATTCCAACGTCACCTTTCATTATAATTATGAAGGTGCGATTTCTTTTTAAGTCTGAATCAAGCTCCTTCTCAAAAACTACGATTAGTGCTTCCACAGAAGAGATGAATTAAACAAGTGATTCTCATTCACTACTGGGAAGCAAACCGGATCAGGCCTGGACTCCACCTGTGTTAAAGTAAAAGAAACTATAACATTAAAGACACTGATCTTAACCACCATACAAAACCATTTGAGCTGGCTGGACAGAGTTGGGTGTATGTTTCAGGCTCTGAATCGAAGAGGCAGATTTGCTTTCCCTTATAGCTTCTTCTTTCTGGGATCAGTGAGACCGAGACAAAGACACTCTATTCCTTCATTATCTTTCTCTTTAAAGTACCAGCACACACGGTTTTAGGCACAATGATGAATTTTGATAGCGTAACATTCTAGTGCTTTCGGCATTCCCAGTGCAGCTCAGAAAGGAAGATCTCTCATATTTTGCAGTGACGAGGCTCTAGACTTTTAAACTTTATAATATTAGAAGAAATAAGATATAGCATTAGCAGTTATGTATTAGACAGGTGTGACCTACGGCCACTTCCTTACAGGAAATTGTAAGCTAAATGATCCTGATGGAAGAGATGGGGGGGAAAAATCAGAGAAAAAAAGAACTTCCGAAACAAGATTACATAAGTTAAATGAATGACACAGTGACTAAAATAAACAATAAAAAAGCTTTTATCAAATTACACACAAAAAAGTGAATGACTTACAGAATAGAGTTGAAATTCTTTCAAAATCTCTCTCTCTATATATATATTTATGATTTGGTAAAAAAAAGAAAGAAAGCTAAATAGCTACAGTTTTGCACCTGTTTCACTTTTATTGGCAAATGAACTGTACATGTATGATCTTCGGCCACTAGTTTGTCATTTTTATCATTATATCAGCAAATATTCAGCTTAAGATGCAGATTAAAGAATTAAGAAAGCTAAAAAAAGTTTACGATTAAATTTTTTTTTTTATATAAAAACGTTAAAAAGAATAACCATTTACAGTATTAACTCCTTTTCAGTTAATGTACCATTGTCAATTCAGTGAAAGGTAAATTAATAACTTTATAATAAATGATTTACTGAAAACAGTCATCAATCCAACTGAACTGATTCAATTCAGTTGCAACCTTACATGAGTCAAATATGCAAATTGGTTTCAATCAGTATTCATGTCATTTATTGGGAAAACTAATTCAAAAGACCAACCCATTCACACATTCAACATCATCATTACCGAAGACAATATTAAACCAGTATTAAAGTGAAATAATAGGGGAAATATGTTTAATATCCAGTAATTGAATCTTTCTTTAACATTACACCAGACTGCTTGAGGCAAGCCAGTACAAGGATGGGAATTTCACTCTTTCCATTATCCTGAGCCTGTTTCCCTGAAACCTAATGACTAACAAGCTATCCTATATCACTTACCACTCAAAAATAATCCTAACATACCTGTATGCTCTTCATTTAAACTAATTATAATTTTAAAATAATTATAAAAAATATGGAGCATATCTAGAAAGAACTAGTGTCAAAGTTTGTGGTCTTAATTTGTCAAACAATAACCACTAGACCCCCAGCCTACCCTTTACCTATTAAAAAAACACACACACACACAAACAAACACACAGAGTTACTTAGATGATGTCTTCAGCCCAGAGGCATCCACCTGCCCTCATTTTGCATTTTGGATGCACTGATTGGTTCTCACAGAGCAGGTATACTTGCACCGTGCCACCAAAGATTTCAGATTTCTCTCCATATTAGCAAGCGTATGTATCATAACTTACCTGTAACTTATTAGCACCTTATACATCAAATCAGAGATGCATCTTCCAGGAACACTGTGCATCTTTGTAACGCTATTTTCAGTGACACAGGTATTTATTAATCTGTTATGATCCGTTAATGATTTATTGTTCATTTTTTGTGTTTGAAATCCTTATGATTAATTTGAGTATCATATTTTTCTTTGTTCGAAGGTAAAAGAAGCTACCGCAAGTAAGTATTTTAATACTTATTTAATATTTATTTTAGAATATTAATAATGTTTAATATTATGTATCACAGTTCAGTAAATTATGTTTCATTTATATTAGGAATTTTAATTTTTTATTTATTTTAGAAATGTATTTAACTAAATATATAGTATTAGTGCACATTGTTGTAGCTTAACATTTTTGTCTCCTCCAGACTGTAACATAACATCAATATCATCATCCACTGCATCATCTCTGCTTGTAAAATGGAACAAGTTTACAGGAGCGACAAACTATATTCTGGATGTCAGGGTTGTGAATGCAACCAACACAGCACCTGTCACTATTACACTCACTGCGTCCGCTGTGGAGCGACTGGTCCAAGGCTTAAGACCGGGAAACATTTATCTAGTGACTTTTAAAGTGTTTGTGTTAAATTATGTGGCATGCATCAACTCCCAGACAGCACAGACAAGTACGTTAGCGACCCACACATTTCTTAACAAATTTCTGGAATTGTTACATTTTTAATTAATTTCATTTCATTTGTGCATGCAGTTCCTGCCACCTCACAAATAACATATTCAAAGGCAATATCAAGCACCTCCATCAGGTTTGACTGGTCCAGTGCACAAGGAGCTGATAAATACATTTTGGTGGTGAATGGAACTTTCCATCCTGAGACTCATAACCTCACATTCACCTCGCTAAGTGGACAGATAGACAACCTCCAGCGAGCCACTTCGTACAGCTGTTACGTTTATTCCGCCAATTCTGCAGGACTCGGCACCAAGAGCCTTGTCAGAACCATCAGAACATGTAAGTCTACTCACAGTTCTTTCCAGTTTTGTGCTATTTTACAGCAGCTTTGCTACCATCAATGAAATCTTGCCTTTCTATAATTGACAATAAGAAAATATTTTTGTTCCACAGTGGTGCAGCCACCAGATAATGTGGCTGTGAACGAGTTAACGCAGACCACGGCTCGCGTAACATGGAACGCCATCTCAGGTGTCCTGCTTTACCAGCTTTCAGTGATGGCCAATAACAAGCCGGGATTTCCCCCGCTTATTAAGAATGTCACTGCTTCCCCTGTGAACATCTCAAACCTGGAGCCGTGTACAACATACACAATAGGGGTTGCATCTATCAACATGTTCCTTGAACCAGGAGAGTCCAATAATGTCACCTACACAACTTCCAGTAAGTCAAGACGAGGCAGAACATTTCAGAGCGAAACCTTTGAATGAAATCATAAAGCAGTAGATTTATGCCTTGATGTGTTTTGGATGCTTCTAGACTTGCCTAACCAAGACTTCGGTTGGACAAAATTCTAGTCCAGAATCAATACTAAGCATAAACCAAGCCTAGAAACCAATGCTGGTTTTTGCAGCATCTGGATATGCAGATACTGTATATAACATATTACTTCTTGTTTATCTCAGCCATTGCAACAGTTTCCTCCATCTCTGTGGAGTACAGCTGTCGTACTTCTACGGCAACGGTTAGTTGGGATGTGGCTTTTGGTGCCACGTCGTACCGTGCCGTCATTACAGATGGTCAAGGCCGGTCGCTCAACTGCACTTCCATGGACACCACCTGCCAGATCTCGAATCTGGTCTGTGGAGAACGGTACGCCGTACGGATTATAGCCATCGCTAACTGTGAAAGCACTTCCGACGGCAGCTACATCTTCGAGACAGGTAAAGATGTCCTTTCTCAAAGGTCACGCTCACACCTGATCCAGTCCTCTGGGAGGTGAGCAGGAAATCCTGTCGTGGTGTAGCAAGTCTGAGGGGGAACACACCCAGGAATTACTGTCATGTAGATTTAATGAGCTTTACGATCTATTGAAGCAGATATTTTTTATGGAAGGTCGTGCGGTATCAGGTGGCAGTCCTAACTTAGCCCTTAAGTTAGTAAATCTACCTGCCTTCTCTAAGGTTATCTCTCTCAGGTTGTTTTTTATCTACTATCCACCCAAAAATGAAAACTCTGTCATCATTAATCACCCTCATGTCAACCGGTATGGCTTTCTTTCTTCTGCAGAAGATATTTTGGAGGGATTTTGTCCATAAAATTAGTCAGTGGGGTCCAATGTTGTTTATTTTGGACCCCATTTACTTTCATTGTATAGACAAAACAGCGGTTATTCTTGAAAATATCTCCTTTTGCGTTTGAAGTAAGTCATACAGGTTTCAAACAACATGGGCTTTCATTTCTGGGTGAACTGTCTCTTTAAACCAAATAGGAATTGTATATTTCACTAGCAAATGCATTTCTTTCCCCCTTCTCTCAAACTAACAGCACCATGCCCACCCAAAGCGCCAAAAGTGTACCGCGAGTGCTCCACTAATGTCATCTTGTTCTCGTGGGAGCCCACCAACAACACGGCTTATTACTTCGCCATTGCTGTGGACTCGGATGAACTGGTAATGGAATGCGTCACTGGGGAAACCTCCTGTTATTTCACCGACACCGTCTGTGGCCAAACCTACAGCTTCTATGTCAGCGCCATCTACTCCGGAGGACTAGACTGCAAGAGTGGAAACACAGAGGGTGTGGTGATCAAAACAGGTGAGTTGGTCATTTTGGTAAAAATCAATAAACATTTAATTTTCCATGATTTTCCATGGGACACATAATTTTGCAGTTGTTTATGTTTGTGTGTTTGTTTTCGGGTTCAGAAGCCATTTAAAAGATAATTATATTATCGATTTAACTGCACTAACAATATTGGATGGGAACAAAATTTGAATTGAATTAAGGTGGATTATGACACCAACTCTTCAATATCAACACTGTTATTGAAAAACAGAGTTCTGGCATGAAACTCTAGATGGTGCAGTCAGATAGGTCTAACTCAGTGGTTCTCAACCCGCGGCCCATCACGAATTTAAATGCAGCCCACCATGCTGAACACAATTTTTAAAAATTACTTTCAGTTTTACAATTAATTTTAGTTTTTACATTAATTTAAAAATTTACTAAATAAATATAAGATATAGCCTAATGTTTTTATGTAAAATAATTTTGTTTTTCATGTATTATTTTCAGACATGAGCAGTACTCACATAGCCTAACGTTACGCATTTAAAGTAACGACCAAGTGGCCAGCGGCAGACAGTGAGCATATGTTTGATCAATTTAGCCTTCTCAAATCATCACAACTTGACTAAAATAAAATCTATAGATATAAAACAGTTCAAGCATATAACAATGTTTAAACGTTAAACCTAGATAAATGTGCGCTGTATCCAATAGTTTGTGCAGAGAGTGCAAGCTGAAGCGCACTTTGCAGGACATAGAGACGCCATTTTTTTTCAGTGGATACACCGTCATTTTTGCTCATAAAGGTAAGAGTAATACATCATTCGTAACTGTAAAGGGTCTACTTTTATTTGTGTGCACTCACAATATCAACAAAACGTTG